ATTGTCCTGGGATAAAAACATCCCAAATCCATCTGTATTCAAAAATATTAATAAAAATTCTAGACTTAAATTCACTCGATTTCATTTTATTTTGTCGTTTATATATTCAATTTTATCTTATAAGACATTATATTTATATCTGATGGCAAGGAGTAAAACATTTTTTACAAAATGCCAAGTTGCAAGCAATGCAAATCTGATTCGTACGGCTCTCTTTGCCCTTTTTAGCACAATTTACGCATCGTTGTCTCTTCTTCGTTCTTTGTGGCAAATGATCTCCCAGATTTTGTTGAATTTTTTTCTTCATTGCGGAGACCGGTCCTGTTCGAACTTTGCGCTGAATTTTCGCATTCTTTTTCCCTTCGTCGATGAGGCATTCGGATAGCTCTACCAAGAATCCCAAGAACGGTTCTCTTTTCAGACGTGGATGGTTTGTTTCCGCATGGGTAATCCAAGCATTTACGGCGCATGTCATCATAAGTCGAAAGAAAACTTTTCGCCACCATTTAGCAGACTTTCGGTCTAGTTCATACAGGGTAACCATTTTGTCGGCCAAATCTACGCCACCCATAATGTTTCGGTATGTTTTCACTAAATCTGGACAAGTCACATCAACTCTGGTGCCATCTTTTTGTTTTCTTTGAACGGTGCCCACTGTAGCCTCATGGCAATTGCTTAGAAGCATTACCTGTTTAGTATCTTGCCAAACCACTGCCAAAGTACCAGATGAATTACACTTGAAAACATATTCTCCTCTGTTTAGTTTTTCAGTAACTTTAGGTAAATTTTTTCTATTAGATATACAGGTACCTAAAGCTGGAAAAGGAATATTATTTATCAATTTTGTTGACGTGAAAAAACGGTCAAAACACAATGTAGTGTCAGGATGTCTGATGGTCGATGCCAATTTCATAACAACGCGTTCGCCTAATGTGGGTGATGTATGCGAATTGTCTTCTTTTCCGGAATATATATTAAAATCGTAAGTATAGCCAGTCATACTGTCGCATCTCATCCATAATTTTATTCCTCTCTTCACTGGCTTCAATGGCATATACTGCTTCAAGGTAGAGCGACCCAAAAATTTGGTCATAGACTCATCAATGCTTTGGAATGGAGAGTCGGATCTACATTTTTGAAAGGTGCTTTTGAGGCAATTGACCAAATCATCAATGAAATATGTTTTAGGTTTTGGATCAGGCTGGTATGATAACGAGGAAAAATATAGTTTGGACATAACGTGTAAGAACCGATCTCTGGACATGGCTTTTTTTTTGTATGGATTCCCCAATGAAGGGCTATTTGAAAAATAGTCCTTCAAAGAAGGCACTCGATTATATGACATTACAAATGTGCATCCGAGAATTATGAGGATCTCACCAAAATCGGTTCTAGCTCGTTTGTTTTTTACATGGCTTATATTGTGAATATCAATTCTCTCATTGGTACAATCTACTATGTGATGAATAAAGCTTCTAGGCAATAGCTTGAAAAATACCTCCAAAGGTGTCAGTCCACGAGTTATGCCCTGATTACTAATGATTCGTTCTTGGCTAATAGTGAATCGTGGCTTGAATGTCGGTTGTGGGTCTGTCCATATTATAATATCATCAGGCCATTCATTCACATTATCTTCTTCCAAACGTTCAATTTCGTATATTTCATCATCAGTACTTTCATTTTCACCATCATTTTCATCCATAGCACTTTCATTTCCACCATCAATTTCATCTATAGCACTTTCATTTCCACGATCAATTTCCATTTCTTCATCATATGCTCTGCCGGGCTGTGTGTTTTCTCCATCTTCTGAATCAATGTTGCTTTTTTCACTGGGACTGTATGCGGAACCACTATCAGCAAACAGATCATCCTCATCACTCGATTCATTCAAAAAGTTCTGAATTTGTGAAACACCCAGTCTGCGTGGTCTCTCCATTCTCTAAGAAAAATAATGTACATGAGTACGTATGGGATAATAATATCCCACAAATAAACAGATTTGGGATGATTTCTTCCCACGGAACTTACCTTGACTTCTTATAAGGAAAATAAGTTATTCTTTATTCTAAACTTTTTATTTCAATAGATTAGCACTTTTTGCACAAAATGTAACTATAATTCAATTAAAAATCACTTATTTTCTAAGCTTTTTCCAAACAAATACCATCTACGCAACAACGTGTCTAAGAAAATGACATTTAATAAAAAACTGATGACTCCAACCAACAGCTGATATTTTTGTTTTTGTAGAGAAGAGTATAATGTATGATTTGGGACTGTTTTGAACCGAATCGCTTCCATATTGTGACAGATACGATTTTTTGAATTTCTTCGGGATAAAAACATCCCTATCGTCCCGAAACGGTTAAGAAAGTATCGATATGATGAATCGATTTAATTCATTGCATGTAAAATCGATATGGCGATATAT